GTGTTTGGCACTATTACCATAGCTTTGCGCAGAACGTGACCAATAAGGCTCTGCCGAGGTGTATTTATTGCTGGTTGAAAGTAAGTAACGGGCGGAAGTGGTGTAGTGGCAAGTGGCGCGCTTACCACGCGAGCGGTCCGGGGATCAAATCCTGGGTCGTGAGTCGCCCGGGCCAACCAAGCCTTCCATCCCTCCGGGGTCGGTTAATTGGTACCAGACTTGTCTGGGAGGATAAAAACACTGACTTGTACATCGGCTGGCCCCGCAAGTCATTGTATAGGCCACATCGCATTCAAACGCCACTACGAATGTACAAATGGAAGTAGAATGCGTGCCGCATCCCAAAAAGGGATTGATCAACGGCAAATGCTTTATCCTTTTTATCTTTTTAGATCGATCTAGAAGAAGTTTGAATTCGCGGCGGGGTCAAAAAACCAGAGAACTTTCTTGAAAGCCAAATAATTGTTCATCCATGCAGAATAAACTTATACACGTCTGAATAGTCACTAAGGGTTAAATGCAAGAAAACATGGACTTCATGGTTCACTAACGGAGAAGGGCAATCTTTGTTCTTATCCAATCTTCTGCCTTTTTAACTGTCTGGGATCACAAATTATAGTTACCGAAAGCTTTTGCTGATGGAACCTTAGGGATTTCTTTATCATATTGGGTGATTCCGAGGTGTATCTCAATACGACGTCGTCGGACACGCTACAGGGGGAGATGCTTGCTCGATAATAAAGGGATAAAGCATTTGCCGTTGATCAATCCCTTTTTGGGATGCGGCACGCATTCTACTTCCATTTGTACATTCGTAGTGGCGTTTGAATGCGATGTGGCCTATACAATGACTTGCGGGGCCAGCCGATGTACAAGTCAGTGTTTTTATCCTCCCAGACAAGTCTGGTACCAATTAACCGACCCCGGAGGGATGGAAGGCTTGGTTGGCGACCGCACGACTCAGACGATCCCAAGACCCCGCGCCGGGAGTAAAGCGTGCCACTAAAAGCCGAACCTATACTAACTTTATGCGCCAAAACCATTCCACTCTATCGCGCAGAGAAGCCGAAAGGACTGTGACAAGAGGACATCGCCGCGCACAAAAGTCCTCATTCATCATTCATGGGCTAGTTTCCAAAGGCCGACCATGCTAATCCTTGACTAACCTGCGCCTTTACCTAACGTTGCAACCAGATTTGTATAGGTCGTATTTAGTACAGTGCCGTTTTTGCTCAACAGCGAAATCAGAGAAATCATTTTCCATCCGCTTCGATCGATTATATACAAATCGCAAAAAAGTGAGAGTAACACTGTGACGTCACAAATCCCACGGGACACTCTCCAAGCATGGAAATGATGAAGCCCTCCAATGCACATCACCTACGAGAACATATAACATTAATAAATGTTCAAATAAGTGAATTGTGCAGAATACATTCATACGTTAAAGTGGCGCCGCTCCATCACATGCATGTCCAGGGATCGAATCACGACCCGTACTCTGCCCAAGCCGCCTCCTTTCCGAGGATTGCTACTTGATGCCACTTCATCAGAAAGCATATTGACACTGATTCTCACACCTAATGACCTCCATAAGAATACGCACCGAAATGTCATTGCGGTTTCCAATGGAAATTGAACCCGTGGCGCATCCCACTATAGATGGAGTGATTACGGAAAGTCCCTCTACACTGCTTTATCTCAGATTGTAGCTCACCCACACAAAGAATGTCGATCTGTTCTCGAACCCTCATCCACGTCATGTGAGATGCGCTAGAGCTTGCGTCGACCCAGGGTCAACCGTTCGTTGGACAAGGTCCAACGAGAGGGGGGCCGTAATTGGGGGTGGGGAAAAAGGTCAGGACGGTCTCATATGGGGCCGTGGAAAAGGGGAGGATGACGTCGCTATTGCGCGAGATAGCACGTATTAATGTTACCAGTAAGGGAAGGAGATGATTTTTTTTGGTGACGCCGAGAGCGAGATTAGTCAGTTAGGCTGAGATTTTAGGTGTGTTTAGGGTGGGGAGGGGGTCGTAAAATTTTCGAAATTGGTCCAAAGTGACGGTTGACCCTGCGTCCCTTTCTGGGAAGGGGGTGAAGCGGAAGGGTGGGGGATTCGAGTTACGCGCCCACCTTTCTGGGGGGAAGGTGGGGGATTCTTATGCAGCCAATTTAGGGGCAATAACGCTGCTTTTCCATCGCACGCCCAATCCCGCACAAAAGGCAAAAACTCAGTAAACCAGGAATTTTCATCAAAAGATAAGATCACTACTGAAGATTTATTGTACGGCCCATCATAACATAACATCACAACCATCAACCATCACAACGACGATGAACAATGGTTCGAGAACAAGATTTTTGAACCATCACGTCATCCAATAACTTACAACAGAAAAAAATGGACAGAAAACAATTTGAACTACAAAAAGGCATCACAAGTGAGTGTGACGAGCTGTCAGAATGTCATCAACAGCTTTTAAAGTGAGCTATATGGTATCTAGCGAAAAAGAGGCCATCGATAATGAAACTTATGAACACACTTTTCTGAACATGAAGGCTTAGAAGGGCACTTATTACACGAATATTTAGCGCTTAGAGCTTCGCACCTTTAAGGATTAGTCTTCGCGAGCACGCGCTTCACATCCACGTAATACGGCCTAAGCCTATTATTGTGAAACTGTTAAGCACCAAATTCATGACGCACTTTCCCAGGTTTTTTTTCCCTTAAATTAAGTTTCATAATCGATGCAATGTTGTGTAAAGATTTAGACGTTACAAAGAAAGATCGCTCCTTAAAGAATCTGACTAATATCACATAATGTCACTGCTTCAAACAGTTTTTCTAGCTACTAGACTGTTGCTAAATCGATGCATAAATAATGCCAGCACATACTTGTTTAAAATTCTACCTAGAACTCAAACAGTATTTCGAGAACAAATAATCCCCAAATAAAAAAAACTCCAATAAATAAATACGTCACACTTGACGTTTAGTAGAATCTCTTATTGAGTGTTGTCAAGGTTGACAGTTTTTTTAACAATGAAGAATTCGCTGCCTCATCTTGCGGAATTCAGGCCTGACCAAAATGCGAGTAGCGCCCAGGTGATGATAATGGTAATCGTGTCCAGCTTATTAGACTAAACTGGTCACAAGCTCTCCCCGATTTCGGAAGTAAAGAAACGTTGTTTTATGATAATCCGGCAACAGGTGTTTTCCCATGCATGTGCCGATATTCGAGCACAGAAGATCAATGCAAATACCCGCTTGGGACGAATTTAATGCCTAAATCAGAATTTGACCCAAATCGTTGAAAAAATGAAGTGTGATTAGGTGGGAAATCTTGGCACCACGAAAGTCAGAAGATGGTCGTCATGCTTATTATAATGGGGTAAAAATAATTGCTAAGGTTGGCCGGAGTGAGAAAGTGCCGTTACTATGCCGGTTCTATAATAATCTTCAACCTGCCTAGAAGTTATCATCGTACAGTCAATAGCCAACTCCCGATTCCCAATACCCGCCCCCCTCCCAGTTAGCAACCGATATGAGCACAACAACTGGATAGAAACAGTCGCAAAAATAGGTCACTAAACTCCCAGACAACTAGCGGGAATCTTTGCCTAGTATTACAAAAAATGGATGTCTGTCATGACTTATGCATCAACCTAATGTACTCAACAACTTCGATGAATGAAAATAAAGAAAAAATAGTCGAATAACATTACTGATGTGCACATATGAAGGAATGTGTGTTAGAATTGTAGAATAAGCCGCAACAGCTTCAGTTGTCGAATATTTACTATACATCATTACTTCCTCCTAGAGCACAGATAGTAAAATGCGATTAATTAAAGCAACAGTCCACGCAGGGTGGGCGTGGTTGGAGACGACGGCAATCCCCTCGGCCGATTACGACTTAGCTTACTTTAGCTCCCTTCCTAGCGGTTTCCCAAGTTGTGTTTTTGTTCACTAACACTTCTTATGTTCATGGCTGGGGCTGTATAGCTCCAAAAAGGAAATCGGCCGAGGGGATTGCCGTCGTCTCCAACCACGCCCACCCTGCCTGGACTGTTGCTTTAAGTTGCAAATTTCCAGTTGGTCCGCTGCACGTTACCTATATAGTGGCAGGTATTCGTTCATATAAAAATGGTCATTTATAATCCACGCAAATCATCAAAATTCATGTTAGCAGGCGTTGTGGTTGCTTGTGGTTGAGCGGTGGTGGAAGAGGGTACTACAGGCTTACTCAGGTAGTTCATATTCAGTACCTAAAAATAAAGCTCAACAATCACATGCTCATGAAATACTTCAAACAACAGCAAATTCGAAAAAAGTCTACTTACAAAAAAGTGCCTAAACTCTTAAAAGAAACACAAAAAATAGAGCCCAATCAGAAAAACTTCTGGTCAAAGATACTGCGGCTGACACATGAAACACAAAAAAAGAAATATCATTGAAGCAACGGCCTTTCCAATCGATAAATCAGCAAACGCGTTATTGGCACGAGTTGAGCAGGCGGTTGGAGATTGTGGCTGTGCAGCAAGGCTTGGGGCCGCAGACACTGGAGCAAACTGCAACCCCTGTAGCAACGCGGTCCCAGATGGCTGTTCAAAAGGATTTGGGAATCCTTGTGGATTTATTCCGTACGGCATTTGAGGCATTGGGCTAGCAAATCCCATCATTGCCGGAGCTCTCAGGAAAACTGTGTTCCCAGGTACTTATAGCACTGCGCATTAAGGGGAGCATTGCCGGTACTGATTGCTGAGGTGCCGCTTGTAGACCAAACGCTGCAAAGCCGCCAACAGGAACGATAGGCTGCGTCGGACCCTACAAGATGCTAGTAAGCCTTCAACAAAAACTGAATAATCTTCTAAAACAAGTCATCAATTCGAATATGCATGAATCAGCTTACCTTTGACTGATCGCCAATAAGAGAAAGAATATCGGCGGTTAGATTTTTCTTCGCCATTTTGCACTCCCACCAGATAAAGACATTAGATCAGCAGATCCTTGAAGATACCGCGGACTGCGCCGCCTTATCCACAGGTGACGCCTGTTGAGACGCTCCTGTAGCCATGACTGTGTCGATAGTCGGTGCAGAAGCAAACGATCCAAACATATCGTCGACTTCCAAACTTTGATTTGCAGACGCCTCCTGAAGCCATTTTTGAAAATCCAGCAAAAAAAAAACAAGTGTCTTTTGCTTCAAAAATAGCCCACGAATAGGAAATTGCCTATCCGATATTGTAGAAGCCGGTTAATTCGAACTTCTTACCTCAAAGTAAACAGGCTACCTGTACCCTAGTACAAAAAGGAACCACACATGACGACAAATGAAAATGAACCGTACCTGTTGAGGTGCAAGCGACAATGAGGCGAAATCTCCAACTAAAGAATTATTGCCGTTGATCTGCGTGTTAGAGCTAGCAGGAGAAGAAAAATCCAAAAGGTCGTTAACAACAGCCGAACTCGATTTCGGCTCAGCAGAAGCGACAGATACCCGTGCAGCATTCGGCTGAAAACATTCTGAGTTTCATTTGAACCTGTACTTCATTACGTTCTTCACAACACACACACAAAATATAAAATGACATCTACAAAACTGCGGCGAGGGATACCGGCAGCGGATTGGCCAAAGCTCTTCTATGTCGTCTAGTCGACAGTGGTCATTGTCGAATGGTGTCGAAAATTCTCTCGGTTCAAATGGTAGAAATATCGGGAACGACGCTGGCAATCTCGCAGAAACTATCTTATTTCGCCAGAAACAAGTTGAACTACAAAGGGTTTTCGCTTTCAAGCTAATTCCATTTACCACTCGTCGATAACAAATTTAAAACAGCGAACAAAATCGTTGTTCAAAGCAACATTAACTAATATTATCCATATAAGGTATTATGATTATGGCTAGCAGCTTAGCAACCGACTGCATGCAGTCGAATGCTAAAAAAATAAAAAAAAAACCCTCTTAGTATGCGAGCCCACGAAAACACCGCTGATTAGAGCAAACCTTAGCGGAATGGATAACAAAAAAAAGTAGGACGTACCGATGTGAGTCCAGAACTTGTAGTTTTCTTTTTGGTGCTGGGTTGACCCGGTTTCGGTAAATCATTAACATCTACCCGAGGATAAACAAAACCATTCAAAATGTACCTAAACACAGAAAACAAATGAAACTCTGAAAACCACCAACATCAGATCACAATGAACAAAATGGAACCTCTTTTGCTCATATTTTGCACGAATAAATTGTTCCATTTGATGGTCTGCCATTGAGCGGCGGAAATGATCAGGTAATGAGTGTTCGTACACCTAAACAAACAATTGAAGCAAATTAGAAATTTCACAACAAGCTCTAGCCTTTACCTTCCTAGCTTTTTCATTACCCATCACTCGCATAGACTGCACTTGTTCAGGTGTCCAGGTATCCAAATTCACAGATCGCACCTTAAACGTCTAACTGAGCACGGCTCAGGGATCAAAATTGCTATATGTCATGGATTTAAGTTCCATATAATGGCTCCGCTGCAGTAAGACATCCCTCTCTTAAAGTGAGACATCTTAGTTGTTTTACTGATGCTACAGGTATTATTTCTACCAGATTTGATGAAAAGCCAGATAAGCAGGTTTGAGTTTTCTACGAAACGGGAGGCAATGGCGCTATTGAAAACAAATTAACTTAATATAGAACTTTGAGAAAACAGTAGTGTTCAGCCAAACAGTGTATCTCGGAGGGGATCAGAGGCCGTAAAAGGAGTGGCGGCCTGAAAATACCACGGATGTGGTTCACAGGACAGAAAGCGAATTTTCGCATTTCGCAGAGCGAAACATTTTTGTGGGAACCTTGGCGCCACTGATGATCTGCCACAATTTTTTTTGAAGACTGAGGCTTTCCGCCCCAGCGAACAATGTTTCGCAGCAACGGAACGCCGAAAAAACGCTTTTTTTTTCTAGTGGACCACTCCCCAATACTTTAGGGCACGAAGGTTAAGCAAAGGGTACTTTGTAGAAAACCGGCAGTTACTCCACCAACTCATGAACAATCCCTCGTAATAAAAGACTAGTAATCAGTAATGGAAAAAAAATAAAAATCAGTATTTGAGAAATGAAACGATGAAAGGAAACGCGTTACCTTGGCAGATGTGTACACAAGATTGGTCACTGAATATCAGCGCAACGAAACAAAATGAACACTCCTAAGTCCGATGTGCACATCAGAAAAAAAAAAAAAAAAAAAAAAAAAAAAAAAAAAAAAAAAAAAAAAAAAAAAAAAAAAAAAAAAAAAAAAAAAAAAAAAACAAATTTCAAATCTTAATCTTTGATATATGCTCTACAAAAAGTAAACCTGGGGGTCTTTGCTTGACAATCGGCGCAGTATTTGTTCTCATCTTCCTTGAGCATGTCCAACAGGGATATTTTGCAGCCGCTCCTGCTCCGCTTTCTTTTCATCTGCCTTCCCTCGTCGCATAGTTATTCCCCCTAAAATCAATATGTAACTGTTTACAGTGAAACACTAGGAATTATGTCCCGACAAAAATGAGTCATAAACATCAAAATCGATGGGATGGGAAAGAAAAGCACTCGGAGTAATGAAAACACTAATCGGAAAATCGATGAATCTGGATGGTCTGTCCAAAAAAAAAAATAAAAGCCAAAGTCACTCGCATCGAGAATGGAGAAAGGTACCGAATCAACCAATGAAGGAAGCTAATGAAGCAGCGATTACCTGACCACAACTCGCCCCGATCTCAAACCTACACCACTTTAAGAGTTTAAAAAAGTACAAAAATGAAAGCGAAACAACAGACATCACAGTTCAAAAGAAGCAGTTCAGGGAAAGGAGAGATGAGTTAGCATATTGAACAGTTCAAAACAAGCACTGGGAAAATCCCAGAGTAAATGCCAGAATTTATAATGCGCTGCTAAGAAATGCGAAATAACGCCGAAGTATTTGAAAGCAGTTTGCTGTGACACGACCACCTACGCATCCAACAATTAATAACATGTACATTTGGTTAGCTCATTCGTTTATGTTTCTTAACAAATGGAAATATTATATTAACACACTAACTGTCACCATGCCCGAGCAGTGCTACGTGACAAACCCAACATAAAAGAAATTTCACCCAGGGGACCAATGAAAAAGATTAACTTCAGTTGCAAAGAGCTGAGTAAAAAAGCAATACTAAAACTAGATGGCCTTTCGTAGCCGTGGGAAATCCTTTCAGAATCTCATGAATGAGTGGAACTGTCTAAAAAAATGAAAATGGGATGACCAGCATGGCAAAATAGCGTGAAATAAGAATTGAGGCGGTGTAGAACCGTAACTATCTCTGAAAAGCTGAAAAACCAAGCAAAAATTTCCTCCAAATCTTCATTTGAAAGTCTTGGTTTTGTAAAAAAAAATTAAAAGATAGTCCCACTGAGCAACCGAGATCGCATGCGAATTTCGTAAAGCTCAAGGAGCAATTTTGTGCGACAGCAGATGAAGTATTTAGAGAAGAGAATCTACGACATGTGCCGTTCGCGATAATTGAAATAAGAGGCGCTTTTGATGCAGTATTTCGTGCCAACTCCAGTCACCCATTTTCGTAGAGGGAGGACGCTCCATTGTGGAGGGGAAAAACTAAGTAATTACTCACCAAATCTTCATAATGAAAGTCAATTTTGGTAGAAGTAAAGCCCCTATTTTTCTCTTCCTCTGCTTACAGACGTCGTAGAAGCCTCGGCAGGCAAGGCACTGTGCCTAGCATGGGTGGTACGAACAAAACCTGGACACACAGCAGCCGCACGCCGAGTGCTCACATGCTAATTCCACATTAATTCAAATTGCCATTGTATATTTCGCTTACACAAAAACATACTCATGCGTTATTCAAAGCAAAATCTCGAAAACCGGCGTAATTCATGGTAGCAGCAGTGAAACTACATAGAACCTAAACATCCAAGCCTTAGGAATAACCAAAACTTGCTTCGGCGTTCTCAGCCTTAACGGGGATGTTCAAAACAGGGTAAACAGCATGTAAGTGAGTGACACTAGGACTAAACTCAGGGGAGGGGAGAAACGAGGGAGAAAAAAAGCTTACTCACGCCCTCCTCTGGAATACCTTCTCTCTAAGGCTTAATACCAACTTCTATAAGTGGCTCACCACATCAATGCCCCTCTAGCGACCTGGGCGTCCTTATTTCAGTAAGGATTCAATTTGCTATCGTCGATCATTAACATTCTGACTAGGCACTGTCATCAATCGTAGAAAGTGGAGGAACTTCCAACACCCGTTCGAGTTGGCTTGTCGTCACGTAAAACAAAGAGGGAGTGATCATTTTGTACTCCTACTGACTAGTATAGGGCGCCATTCGTTGCGGGACCCACTGCCTTAACCCGCGGGGATCCCAAGCGATCGCGGTTGGATTCGAACATTCCAGCTTCTCACGCATGTCAAGTGACTGCCCTCACCCCCACCCCCCTAGACTGGCTACACTGCCCCTGGCTCACGGATTCCCCGCTCCACATTGAAGGGTTCACTGTAGCAGGAGGCAGTGGGACCCGTAACGAATGGCGTCCTTTACTAGTCAGAAGGAGTACAAAACGATGCGTTCCAAAACACCTGTTTCATACTCAAGACCCAAAAACAACTCCGAATGATAAGACAATATCAGTCCTATTTCAAGTGTTTTTTGACATGCGACATATTGGTAAAGCTAAGAGTATCGATCTCCAATTTCGCAACAATCTGTCGTCAGTTTCCCTGTGCGATCCTACAAAAAGCCCATAAGCCTAAGAAGAACTAATAAACGAGAGTATGTAGCGACATAAAAAAAAGCCAGGAGTTTCCCTAGGACGTAATACGCACTAAAACCTTTGTCCTGGACTTCGTTGACGTATACGTTTGTTCGATTGGTTTTCACTCTCGTGAAATGTATAGTTGATTAATGGTATATCCTATGAACTATCATTGTAATGGTCATCCTTATGACCTCTTGAAGTGCGACACGAATAACGATAAACCTTCTGCCCCCGATTGATTGGTTGCGTGAAACTACAAAACGTAGGTTTCGTCGTAGAGTATCGGAGATGAAAATCCAGTGCAACACGAACATTTGATTGCCGCAGGTTTCGTGTCATTTATGGCAAAATACCAAACAAAGGTTCACCATGTTGATAAAAACCAGTTTTAACCCACAACAATCCAGATCCATCAAAAAAGACTACGGCGATGCTCACACGTGGTGTCCACGCGTGTGACTTTTCTAAAGCGAAACAATGACCTAAGCCCTGATCAAACGGCCTTTGAAAATCATGGAATCAAAAGTTGGAGCAAAAACCACACAAAAACACACACCACAAGAGGAAGGAAAGGCAACAAAAAAGAAAGGAAAAGCTGTAGCACAACACCTCCACACATTCGTAGCTTGCTTCGTGTCCGGAAAGGAGGCGTGTGATTAAATGCGTTCACTGCACCGATAATGAACTGTTGCCACATATTTCACGTCTCGTCCATGAAACATTGATGCGTTGACATCACTTGTTTACAGTGCTTGACTCTGTTTACATTTCTCCTTTAAGCTTGATAGTAGGTATTTGGGGAATGAGGATGCCCTTGCTTTTTCTTATAAGTCGGTAGTGATGCTGCTGCTCATCGACTTGGAACAAGAGTGGTTTTCGAATGAAATGGTACAGTTTTGATCAGTACGTTCAAGCATCGGAATTTTTCC